GCATCATGCATCAGGATTGAATCCAAAATCCCACCACCCGCGGGGCAATCCCAGCTCCAGCAAGTGACCCACTGCTACTCCGCAGCCGGGAAGCAGGATACCTTTCCTCCAAGCCCTTTGAGGCCGTGAGGGGCACCCAATTGGGCCGTGATACATACGGCTTTAGCATCTTACGAAGGCTCGCGGGCAGAATCCTTGCCCCTGCGCATTTCATCCACCGACACCGATATCTCTAATGCCAACAGTGCCAACGCCAACGCCAATGCCAGACTCTGGTGAGTTGCGTAAGTTGCGTTACTTTATTTGCGCCGGAGGATTACTTAACGGCCTGTCAGTACTCCTCCTAAGTGGAATATATTCGCGATTGATTCACCAGTCGATTCGTGGGAGGCCATGTCAAGTCATCGCCATGCCACCCGTGTCATGCTTGAAAGCTGGCACTGCGGCGCAAGCTAAGTAGGCCTCCTTACTTGGTACGTAGCTGCGGGAATTTTGAAGTTCCTGTACCTCGATGGAGAACGCGGCCGTCGTGGATTGCCGATTCAAAGCCAGTGTGGCATCATGGCATAAACATGAACATTTTGATGATGGATTATGTATGCGTCTGCTCTTTGTCTTGCGGGCGATCATGACGTCGACTCCTAAGTAGGAGGATGTCGATGATGCTCGGGCATTCAGCTACCTCGATCATTGGACTTGTCTTCCAATGCATTTTGCGTTTGCGTTTGTTCCTTTCTATGGATGTACGCAATGTACCTTTGCTCTTCTGCCGCCCTCTCCTGTTTGATATTGGCGGTCTGCCTGTTTCTTCTGGGGATGTACGCGATGTACCTCCCCCGGCCCATGTTTTCGAGCTGAATCCTCGGCGGATTCCTTTCAAGCGGGAAGGATCAGACTAGGTTCATGCAAGCTGTGCACCTGCGACAAGGATTCAGTCATGGCGATGCTTCAGCTTCGTGCAAGCTGTCTGTATGTCAATTTTTGAGTCTTTCCAGTACGTGTTAGCTGACGAAAGTCTTCAGTGCTTGCTTAGTACCAACAATATTTGGTCCCTAGGGGGGGCCGTGCACATGGACTCGGCCCAACCCCTCAGCAAGATGCCCGAGTTTCATCAGAAGCTTGGTTGTGACGCACGAAATGTCCGCATCGCCGAGGGCCTCGACTTATAACCGTTGATTGGTCCACATTGTCCGGAACAGTTTCATCGAGACTTCGTATCCCATTAGTCTCCTCTTTGCGTTCACTCGGTTTTTCGTATAGACCTCTCGCCTTGACAACATCCCTGCCTTCGCGAGTGATGATGTAACCGCAGCGTATTGGAGCGTCTAAATACAACGCAGAGGCTTTTTTTTGGATGTCTTCGATAAAACCGGCAGCAGATCGAGACCATCCAATGCATACATACGGGTCTAGTCTTCGTCTGCTTTGGAACTAGTGCATACTGGCTAAACGAAGAACCAGATGGTGTGAACGCATGAAGATTGGGCCATCTCCTCGCGCCAGCACCTAAAAATTTCCATCCATTCAGTGCGTGTATCCAAGCCTAAACTGCGTTACCAAACTTTCGCTGTCTAGAGGCTCCGGGTCGCATGTTCGACTTCTAGTGACTCTCCCGTGATATCTCGTTAGAACTTCTTGGAGGAGACGTATTGCCGTGACCTTACAGCGTCCGCTCCCGGCGTTATAGCGTGCTCGCTCGATACCTAGAAAACTAGGCCTTATTTGAATATACTTCCTCAAGCACTTGCGCCTCACGGGTGGCCAAATGGATTCAGAGCGGCGATTACAAGTTGGAAAGAACAAACTAGATCACAGACAGGTTTCGAGCTATAACTCATTTTCGGGACCGCGTCGTGCCTACACAGTCTACGGCATCGTTAATGAAGAAAGCGAAAGCGAAGAGAGGCTAGCTTTTAGTTTGAACAAATTGGACCTCTAGTCTTCTAGCGCGTTTGATGTTGTTCGTCGCTGAACGTTAAGGCACACGGAGATGGATTTAATTGGGCGCTTTTCGAACTTCTCCACAAACGTCAATGTACGACTCGAACTGCCCTGAATATATGTCACTTTCTTGTCGTTATACGCCAGCTTCGATTGCAAGATGTCAGTGTCACTACAGAAGACACAATCGAGTAGAAGTAGAAGTTTGTGACGCTTGCAATCCCATGATATGTTCCCACCGAATGTCTTTTATTTTTCAGATGGATTCAGTTGACCCAGCAGTCTTATTGTGGACACGGATCTGTCCATCAATCCTTTCATTGTCATCGGAACGAACCTTTGATGCAATAACTGATTACTGCTTGGACCTTAAAATGTTGGACTCTCAGCTCCACTCTTTCACTAGAACTTATATGTACGTTAATCCGATATTCGTCAAAGAATGTTGATAGAGCCCCAGCCAGGCCTAGATTCAAGTTGGCAGCTAGTACTTATGTCGATGCGGTGATCAAGAACGCCGATTTTCTGGGAATTGTTTGGGGCTTTGCAGTGTGGTCGAGGTTCTTTCTATCTCACGTCAAGTCCTCTATGAGTCCCATGTACTCTGTCTTCTGCATTGCAGTAACCATGAGACGATTTACTTCTCCTTGATTTTCGTCAAACAAAGGGATGGATTTTCCTCAAGTTGCGCTGAAGGCCAGAGGGGATTGCACATGCGCCGCATTCGATATAAGTAAGCAGTTATTACAAGAACGGCAGTGAGCTGCCAATGATATCCCCACCCACCGATCGGCTGTACTAAACGTGAGCTTTTCTATTGCTTATCTGGTACCCTCATTGTCTTTGCTCTCGACATCTCACAATACCTACGCGGGGTTAATGGTCACGGCTTTCAAGCTCTACCATTTGTATAGCCGTTGACGTAGGAGCACAAATGTCCCATATTAAGACAGGTTACGCATCGACGACCTTTGAATCCCGTAAGCCTCTGTAGATCGAACCAGAGAAAGGCCACTCTACCACCGTCTCTCCAAATTATGGACGGCATAAGGAGATATTCTTCCTCACACTTATCGTGAGCAATTTCAGAACCTTGGACGGCACGTAAGGCGTACCGTAAATACAATGATCGTAGCAGTAGGGTACCAGGTGTACTGACAACAGTGAGAACTTCGAGATCTCTCTTGACAAAATCGCTCCACATAGTGGGAAAAGCGCGAAAGATCCCGGATTGTAGAATCCTGATTCCAGGTGCAGCGTGAGTTTGATAAAGAAGGATTAGAATTCAAAGTTTGGTACTAGTGCATCAGCGCGCACCTACAATCAGAATTAATATCCGTGGCCCACCCTTTCCTTTACCAAAGCGCCATTACCAACAGCTAAACAGTCAGTTATGGTGACGTGAACCCCACATTTTCACTTCAACAAGACGTAGCATATCACCAAAAATCACAAATTATTCCCAAAAACAAGTATCTGTAGAACCGAGGCAGGGGACTGCACGTGGCGCAAAGACGATCTCGAGGAACATAGGTCCTTGTGGGCGCAGCAATCATAAAAAGCGCACGTAATTATAGAAAAGCAAGGCCAAAGTTTGGGATTTTCACTGAGCACGATTTAGCTCCAACCTAAAAAACATGCCGCAACAGTGGCTTAGCCCTCTGTCCATTGCACATGCTAAAGACTTGCGAGGGAGCAGGTTGATGCCAAGTTGCATCGGTTTGAGTGGTAAAATCAGGTTGA